ACGCACCGTTAACGACTTACAATATTATGTCACGAGTACTTCAAAACGATATTAAGAGTGTAATATTTCGATTTCGTTTGATATCCCGTAATGAGCCTGAAAATGAATACAAAAATATAAGTAAAAAAAATATTTCTCTCTCCGTGCACGAAGTCCTTCCTAATTTTTTTTTCCGTGCACGGAGATATTACTTTTTTTTTGCTGTGTAGTTTTACGTTATAATTTTTTTTCAATTTAAAATTCTCTTTAATTCTTTTCTCTTCAATTTTTTTACTTACAAGTAATATGTTGTAAAAAAAATTCTGTCGCTTATTATCTCTATCTTTTTTTTAATATAAAAGTGATTTTTTCTTATATCCATACTATATATATCTATATCAGAGTGGGGGAGGAATGAAAATTGCGTGTTACAGTAAATTTGGAGGCAGTGTATAATAAAATAAAATATATATCAAGCAAACGGCGTCGTTTTTTTACCCCTAATTGAAAAAAAAAAACAAAAATGCTACAGTAAAGATGGATCAAGACACTGTTATTTTCTACAGTGCCCTCACATTCCCTTTTTTATATAGTAGGGAATATATATATATATATATAGCAGTCTTGAGTTTGTGTGTGTGTATTTTTCAAGAGAGGAGAGTTGAGGGAAGAGAGGCAGCCAAGTAGAGAGGTGATTTCTTTAATGATATTCAACCATTGTTTTAATGGGTAGAGAGAGGCAACCAAAGGTGCAATGTGGGTTGAGCCTTGGTTTGTGGCGTTCGTTTGATAGTTTTTCTTAGTCGGAAGTCAAGATTTCTCGAAGATTTCACAAATGGTGTGTTGAGAAATTTGTGATTTTTGGGTGTCAAAATCGGCTAAAAGTGGCAAAAAAAAAAAAAAGAGCTGAAAAAAGGATAGAATTCTCCAGTTTTGAGTTTATTTGGCCGAACCTATAAACCCTTTTTTGGCCAAACTAGTGGCCATCTGAGAAAAACTATATTTGGTCCTGACGGCGTGCACGCGAGGCCCTAGCAAGTATGAGTGGTGACGTGTGCTGTGGTTTTCGACTTCGTCATCTTCAGATAGAATGTTCCAGAAGGCATGGTGGACCCAACGGTGGCATCCATTTTCTGTTTTGAGTAATACGATAAAATCTAGATAATTTTGCCTTTGGACGTTCAATGTTGAGTGTCATTTGTAATATCGCGGTTACTGGAAGTTTCAGGATAAATAGTGGCTGCCTAAAGTAGTGAATTTGCATAGCTCCTAATTTACAAACGTACATATATGGTCAGTTCGGTATCGTGTTCTTTCTTTTTCATTATTACAGTTTATGGTTATCGTGTAAGATAACAATTTACTTTTCCTATTAAAAGTCATCATGTAAAGTAATATTAGGATTCTGGTTATTTTGAAGGGGTAACCATTGCCTATTGCTAGACCTGTAAATTATTTGCCTTAAATGCTTTGTGAATTTGTTGCCACTATTAGAATTGCAAGTCACCTTAGGAAAATTTTGTTTGACTAATATGTGTGAATTGTGTTTGTACTTTCTTTGTGGTCTTGTTGGTTGTAATTTTGTGTATGTGCATTTTTGGTAAAATGACAATGCATTTTGAGTTGTGCTTTTTTAATGGAAAAAAATGTGATTTTTCAATTTGGCAAAACGAAAAAGTTCTTTATAAAACTTTTGATGGCATATGTATTTCTAAGGTAAGTGCAAAGAGTAAAGGTTTTTAATTACAGTATTTTTTGGACATGTTGAAAGAGATTGTTTTAGAAGAGCTAAGCAAAAGGGTAAGATGGGTGGTGATGAGAATGTGACTATAGAGTCAAATGATGACCTTAGTGAGGTTTATTGAGAGTAAACTTAGTTACTGCATGCGCATCTGAGTGTAATCCTTTCTATATGTGTGTGATTGCTAAATTCTATTGCATGGTTATATGTTGTATTTTAATATGTTTGATATGTACATTTGCATAAATTTTGAGAGCAACATGATCACTTGGTATAGTGTATTTGCATGCATAGTGGGTTAGGATGTATTGGCAATAAGTGTGTTGTGTGTCTTTTGGTGAGATGGAGTATAGATGCCTAAGGATACATTGATGGTATTTTATCAGGGATGTGAATCGTGACATTTGAATCTCAAGTGAAATGATGATTAAATGTTGAAATCCTTTACTTGTAAAGACCTTCATCGGGTGAAGTGTGAAATAGACACTTCTATTTCTTTTGTTAAGTGGAGACCCATTATCCACTTAGGTTGGGAGAAGTAAAGCGGTAATAGAGAATTATCCCATGGACTTAGGATCCATTATGATTACTAGTTAGACATGAATTTGGTTAATAGTCTAGCGATCAAGATGTGTGATGATAAGAGATGTGTTCTCAAAGTGTGAGCAAAATGAAATGAGATATGATAAGTATGGTAAGATCTTTTTGTGAGGTCATTTATGTATTTGTTGCATGCGTTGGCCATTTGATTGGCTAACTTGATGTCAGTATGTTGTTCTGCGTGAACATGTTTTGAAAAGATCTATATGTTATTCTATAGTATATCTTTATCGTACGTGTTATTTGCTCTTGATTGGTTACTGTAATTATCTTTTCTACTTGGATGTTTTTTCCTTTAGTCCTAGTGAGTACATGGGGTGGCTATAGTGAGTGTTTCAAGTCTGAAACACAAGGTAAAGTCTGTGATATCAATTTTGTTTGGTTACTTTGATTATGCAAATATAAACTGTGTGTTTTGTTTGTTTGTAGATTAATTGGGTATCAAGGTGGAGAGTTGTTAGGTTTTGATACCCAATAAATTCGGCCCAATGATTTAAACACGGATGTCGAACAAATTATCGACACTATAAACTTGGCTCGACTTGGAAATAACTTTGCACTCTTTAGGATGAGCCATGAGTTTAGCTCCAACAGTGGTTATTGTGTTGGGTTATTAGATTGGTGGTTTGGATTAATGGTAGCCCATTTAAATGTATCTAACCTACATGTATATAGATTCGAATAATGCTTGTCGTACCAAGTTGGGTTACAAATTTCCTTTACAAAGTGATGTGTACGGCTCAGATGGAAGGAAATGGACGGTTCGGATTTTAAGTTGACAATAATGGAAAGTGGTGCCAAATTGGTTTTCTTGCTACTTGGTATTAAAAAAACAAAATTTTTAAAATGGTGGTAATTTCTCTCTCTCTCCCCATCGTGCTTTGTCTCCCCAGCTCTCCCAAATCAACTCACAAGATTTTGACAAAATTAGAGAGTGGAGGGTTGCGAGTGTAGAAAACAACAAACCAAAGATAAATCAATCAAAGGACCAAGTGAAGAATGGAGAGGAAGAAGGAACCGATTGATAGCAGCCTCCAAACTTAGGGCAAACACATACAAGATATAAAGGTTTATATAGTACAAAACTAAGGAAATGTAAAAGTATAAACTACCCTTAACCTAATCTACTTAATACATTAATAGCGAGTTGGAGCGAAATTAGGGGTTTTGACACTGCAGGAAGGTATAGTTGAGCTTAGCTTGAAATTGGTCTGAGAATCCAACAGGAAGGTGGTGGCCAGGCAACAAATCGGGTATGAATTTATGGATTATGACCGAATCTGTCTGTGATGAAGTGATAATGCAATGTTTTCCATTGTGTACTAGAAAATCAGTTCGTCCATTTGAGTCTGCCAACCAAAAGGGGAAAGAGGAAATCAAGAATCAAATTGAGGAGAAAGGAAAATACTTAAGACTCCTCATCCCTAAAAACTTGAAAAAAATGCTAAAAGTTTTTCCCTCGGTCAGTCGGTCATAAGTCAGCTACTACTTGCTCCTTTCCTTCAAAAATTTTGCTTTTTCTTATTTTTTTTTTCCAAATGATTCAAAAAATAGCTGAAACATTTACCCTCATGTGCACTTGCATTTCCTCTTTGAGCTTATATACTGATTCCATTTAACCGAGTGAATTTCCTGCTTTCATGATATCCACTTAGGAGAGTAATGTTAGCTGGGTATCTGCAGCAAAAAATAAAATAAAATAAAATATACATTAGCCAAAGGAAAAAATATCGATTCATTTAGGAAAAAACAATAGTGTAGTTGTTAATATTCAAGAATTCATTGCATTGATTTGTTGAAGGGATTATATACCGGAAACTTTCGTGGTTTTGTATTATAAATTTGTTGCCAAATGGGATTCTCAGTGTTAGATACAAAATATGTTGTAATGCTGTGTTGGGAATAGCCAGTACTTAGATGACATTCCAATATTGTTGACCTGTTATTTATGTACCTAAATAAACCACTCAAAGTTGGGCATTTTGAACACGTAAATATTGGTTGAGTGTTAATGTTTTGCAGGGTCAACCAAATATGGAAGAGGTTTTGTCCGTTGATTCCGAAAATGAGAATGTGGAGGACAATATGAATGTCGTGGAAGATGAGATGGTAGTGAGAGATGGTTTGACTGTCCCTGAGGTTGGTGCTGCAATGCGATATCAGTAGTGCTGGAAGGGATATCAATATTGCGATATTAGTAGTGCTGGAATGCGATATCAGGACTGTTGGTGCAATTAGGAACCATGCTGGAATTGCAAAATTCTTGGTTGTAGTTGTTAGTTGGGCTATGTGAGATATGTGAATATAATTAAATCTTGTTTTGTTTAATTGATGAAGAGCAAATGGTTCCAAATGTGGTAGCTTAGTTCGAACTATGTGGTGCATTGCAATTGTAGTCTCTCTCCTGTTGTGGTACTTTTTTTGTTAAAACATCAAGTTTTAGTTCATTTGTTTAGGTTCAGCATAAACGCATAAATTTCACTCATGAATGAGAGCTATCATGAATGCATATTGTTTTACTGAGTTTTACTGAGATCAAGCTAACTTACTGCATGCTCATAGAAAGTTAGCATCTCATTTAAAATATACCAAAACTAGTGGTCTTGTTTTGCACACATATGTTGCTGACTGGTCTAACACGTTAAAATGCTATTATGTAATGCCGAAATAGAGTTGTTACTTGAAACGCAAAGGAGTAAATTCTTTAGGCTTCAAGGAATAAAAATAAAACACATACAACAGTTATAAAAATGGTGCAGAGCTGTTCTGGTAAACATCTGTCAAATACTTAGTTGCTCTCAAAACACCATTTCTTGATAGCAAATACAAAACGAACACAACACAATTACAACTCGTTCGACAACTAACTACTAAATATGCTGTGTTGGGTCCTTTCCTTTCCCAAACTCCTCCGCACATCCTTTCTCCTTGTGAAATGTCACATTCACTGAAATCTGGACGTCTCGTTCATCTCATATATCTGTATATTAAGATAGACGATATCTAAAGAGTTCCACTAATTAGTAGGGAAGAAATATATGTTAGTACTAGGCAACATTCATCTCAAGCCTTAAAACATATTAAAGTAGGGGATTCCCTCTAAGGAAATCAACCAAACAACTTGTGGGTCTATTCAGTTAAAAACACTCAAGGAAAACATAAAGGGAAATCACCTATATGTCTGACCGGCCACAAGTTCTTGACCCTTCCATATTTGCTCATAACTTGAGAAAACAAACAAAAGTAATAAATTGATCCTAAATTGAACCATACACATTCAAAGAGAAACAAAATGATCAAAAAACTTTAAAGAACCAACAACTTCAATTCAATTGGATAAATTAACAAATCTAAAAAAAAGGGTACCTCGCAGAGAGTGTCTTCAGTTGTGAGGGGAGAGAGACGACCTACAAAGAGAGTGCAGTAAGAGTCACCAATAACGTTCGGGTCGCCAAAGGGGTTGTCTGCAAATGAAAATAACAAGAAGAATAATGAAAACATTCGGACAGAAGAATTTGTCCCTAAATGGGGTAATACAATTGGGAGAAAATTACTGAGGATGCAAACTAACTAAAGAAGATGCAAACTGAATCCATTCCACCATTACCCACCATTCGAAAATAACCCATATTCCCCCAACATTTAGAACCCTTCTCACCTGGTTATTTAAAAAAGGAACAGAAAATTAAAAAAATTACCCATAAAAACTACAAAATTGAGCTGATCTGGAGAGAAAAAGTTGAAGCTGTCGAGCTTAGATCTCTCTCTCTCTCTCAAAACTAATATACATACAGGAGGCTGTATGTATAGCTCTGGTGGGTATTTTTATTTTATCTTTCCACTTTTGATTTGGAGTGGGACGACATCGGGAGCTCCAACCAAAAATTCACACCGTACCCGATTTCGGAGATGGAGAAGATGGACTAGAGGCCGGATTCGTCGATGAAACAAGAAATGTGAAAATCGATCGCAAATGGGAGGAAATGTTGTTTGAATTTCTAAATGGGTCAATAAGATAATTGCCAAAATCTAAGCCGTCCAGTGCTCTTAAATCTGAATTGTACACGTCACTTTGTAACCTTCCTTTGTCAAGCTACTTCGTACATGTAGCATTATTGGTGTGAAAATTAGGATCAAACTTTTCAACATTTTAGATGGCATGGTTTGGGTCAGTTACCATGAAAATTAAGGTTTTGAAACCCCCATATATTTAAATCACTAAAAGACATTTGCTTTTACCTTCTAACTTTATATCCCATTATCTTTTTAACGTCTACATCGACATTTTTTGTGACGTTGACTACTAGAATCTCCTCTCGAAGGTTAGAAAGTTCTGCCCAATTTTTCCCTTAAACCTTGTTACCGTTGGTAACAAATCAGTGTTTGGTCTAGGCTTACGAGAATATACGCTACTCAATATAACTATACATAAAGAATGCATAAAATTTAACTTTTTCGTTCACACCTTAAATGGCGCTCCAAACAAGCAAATAGAAGAAATTAGAGATTCATATTAACAGTCAAATCAACCTATATAATTTCAAGAAATCCAACATGCAAATACCATATATTCCTCTTAATTGTCAACTTAGTACGAAAAATGCTTGAACTACATTAAGAAGTGGTGTAATTGTTGTAAAAGGTAATTTTATTAGGGTTTACAGGTGAATGACAATTATACCCCTGCAGCTCTATTGATTATTATTGTTGTATCCCTGATTCTGTCTTATAAATACAGGGCTTTGGTTATTAATGAAATGTACACAAATTTATTGACTCTTCTCTTTTCTCTTCTCTTTTCTTCTCTTTTCACATGTTATTGATACGATTTTCTCAAAAGCAAAGTGAATTAGTTAGAAAGTGATAATTTTTATAAGTAAAATCATCTGTCAGTACCAAAACTAATTTGGTGCCATGTGAATTCTTTCGATGTACATATACTGTTAGACCCAAGGTCGATCCTAAACAGTTATGCGGAAATAAATTGTATTGAAATACCAAAAATCTTATGGATCGATATTTTACCTCCGGCCATTGATGGTGATTTCTAAAAGCTTCTTCCGTTTCAGGTAATGGCACTTCCAAACTCTAGACACTGCAATTTGATGGTGTATATTGAGTTTTTCGAGTCTTGAGCTTGGGGACCAAAACCAACGTATATATAGCCAAATCCCATCAAGTTATGACTTCAGTTACCACTTCTTTCAATGGTAGAATTAAGAATTTTATTCATGTTGAAAAAATTGAAAACCCCATGAATGTTGGACCATTAATTTGGCTGTTGAAGGAATTTGGAAGAAGAAAGGTTTTCTGTTACATTCTCCCACTTGGTCCATACATTCATCTTAATATCTCAACTTAATCCATTGATTGTCCTTCTTAAGAAACAAACACATGAATCATGACGATGAGTCCTCTAATAACGAGTATAATCTTCCATGTATTACGTTGTATTTAGTTTCTCAAGAATTATTTTTTTATACGGTAACAATACTTAATGAAAAGATCATATGTCTTATTCTTGGTCCTACATATTTTCTCAAATAAATTAAAGCGCCCATGAATATGAGAAAATATCACAGCATATAAGAGTTTCGTACAAAATTTTTGTATATACAATTACATAGTGGAATCAAGTCCCATTTTCTCCACATGATCCTTGAATTTTAACGGTAGCATGCCTTTAGTCAAAGGATCAGCGATCATCAATTCAGTGCATACGTGCTCAATGACCACTTTCTTTTCTTTAATACGTTCCCTTATAGCTAGATACTTAATGTCGATATGTTTACTTCAACTACCACTTTTGTTATTCTTAGCCATAAAGATAGCAGCCAAATTGTCGTAGTAAATTCTCAATGGCCTAGAAATGGAATCCATAATTCTAAGCCCAGATATGAAACTCTTGATCCATACACCATGCGATGTAACCTCAAAACAAGAAATGAACTCGGCTTCCATAGTGGAAGTAGCAATTAAGGTTTGCTTGGCACTCCTCCATGATATAGTTCCACCAGTCATCATAAAGATGTATCCTGATGTTGATTTTCGTGAATCAATATAGCCGACAAAGTCTGAATCTGAGTATCCAATCACTTCTAGATTATCCGTCCGTTTATACATAAGTACGTAATTTTTGGCTCCTTGAAGGTACCACATTATTTTCTTTGCTGCTTTCCATTAGTCCATACTTGGATTACTTTGATATCGTCCTAACATTCTTATAGCAAATGCAATGTTAGATCTTGTGCAGACTTGAACATACATCAGGCTTCGGACAGCAGAAGCATATGAAATGTTCTTCATTTGTTCCATTTCTAGATCATTTTTCGGGCATTGGTTCAAATTGAACCTATCACCTTTTACAATGGGAGCTATACTTGGTAAACAATTTTTCATCCGAAATCTCTCTAAAACTTTGTTGATATAAGTTTCCTGAGACAGACCCAAAATACCTCGTAATCTGTCTCTATGAATCTTAATTCCAATGACATAAGATGTCTCACCCATATCCTTCATATCAAAATGTTTAGAGAGGAATTGTTTCACCTCATGCAACAAACCCTTATCATTGGTTGTAGGTAAAATATCGTCAATGTATAAAACAAGGAAACATATTTTACTCTCACTAACCTTCTTGTATATACATTGATCCATGGGGTTTTCAACAAATCCAAATGAAGAAATTATTCCATACCATTGACGGAATGCTTGTTTTAGACCGTATATAGACTTTTTAAGCTTACAGACCAAGTGCTTACCATCATTAGAGGGAAATCCTTTAGGTTATTTCATATAAACCCCCTCCTCTAAATCTCCATTGAGAAATGCTATTTTCACATCCATTTGTTGTAATTCAAGATCAAATTGGGCTACTAATGCCAAAATAATACGTAGAGAATCTTTCTTAGATACCGGAGAAAAGGTCTCCATGTAATCGATTCCCTCATTTTGAGTAAGTTCCATAGCAACAAGTCTCGCCTTGTATCTCTTGATATTGCCTAATGAATATTTCTTACTCTTAAAGACCCATTTACAGCCAATGGCTTTGGCACCACTAGGCAACTCAACAAGATCCCAGACTCCATTGCTCTTCATAGAACTCATTTCTTTCTTTATGGCATTGTACCATAATTCTGACTCTTTACAACTTATGACCTGTGAAAATGATTCGGGATCATTTTTGACTCCAATATTGTGGTCAGGTTCTTGTAGATACACTTCATAATCGCTAGGAATTGCTGACCTTTTGGTTATAGTAGATCTTCTTAACGTTGTACCATTATCTTCCTGAGAAGCTTGTTGTTCAACTATTTGTTTAGGAGGTTCTGGTAATTCCTGAATTACCTGATCTACTTAAACATTATCAGTAGTTTGTGGAATTTCAATGATTGGTTGTTCAACACTTGTTTGTACTTGAGGGGTGCTGTGATCTATAATCAATCTGTCATTTGAGGTGGGAGGCTGAGATTCCAAATGATCATCCTCAGGAACTATGTTCTTGATTTGATCGCTCCCACTAATCAAGTCATTCTCAAGAAACTTAGCATTTCTTGATTCCACAATCCTAGTGCTGTGAGATGGATAGTAAAATATGTATCCTTTAAACTTTTCGGCATATCCAATGAAATACCCACTAATGGTCCTCGAGTCTAACTTCTTCTTTTGTGGATTATAGATCTTCACTTCAGACGGACATCCCCAAACGCGAATATGTCGTAAACTTGGTTTCCAACCTTTCAATAATTCAAATGGTGTCTTTGGGACAGCCTTTGTTGGAACTCGATTTAATATATGCACTGTCGTCTTAAGTGCTTTAGTCCACAAGGATTTAGGAAGATTGGAGCTACTAAGCATGCTCCGCACCATGTCCAATAATGTCCTGTTTCTTTTTTCTGCTACACTATTCTGGTCTGGTGAACTAGGCATGGTGTATTGGGCAACTATCCTATGCTCTTGAAGAAATTTAGCGAACGAACTAGGTGCTTGTCCATCCTCTGTGTATTTACCATAATATTCTCCATCTCTATCTGATCTTACGATCTTAATCTGCTTATCATATTGTTTCTCCACTTCAGCCTTAAAGGTTTTAAAAGCATCCAATGCTTTGTTCTTATTATGAAGTAAGTAGAGATACATATATCGTGAATAATCATTAATAAAGATGGTGAAATATTTCTGACCATGTTAGTCCATGTCTGGACTATATATCAGTATGTATGATTTTTAATATGTCCGAACTCCTGTTGGCACCCTTTTTGGAGTTGTTGGTCTGCTTCCCCTTAATGCAGTCCACACATGTGTTAAAATCAGTGAAATCTAGAGTACTAAGTATACCATCATTCACTAATCTTTTAATTCTATCTATAGAGATATGTCCTAATCTCCAATGCCACAACATAGAGGAGTCTTCATTAATATTACATCGTTTAGCGCTAGTATGAACGCGCATTGAACTATTAGTGATATCGTTTTGTAAATTAATATGATAAAGACCATCAGACAAAGTACCATTCCCAACACAATCAGAATTATATAATAAACTGAATGACATGTTTGAAAAATTAAAGGAATATCCCAAGGGTACAAGTCTGGAAATAGAAATCAAGTTTCGCGAAAAAACTTGGAACATAAAAGGTCCTTTCTAATTTCAAAATAAAGCCACTACATAAGTTAAAATGCATGTTCCTATAGTCTTCACTAATCTTTTGATTCTATCTATAGAGATATGTCCTAATCTCCAATGCCACAACATAGAGGAGTCTTCATTAATATTACATCGTTTAGTGCTAGTATGAACGCGCATTGAACTATTAGTGATATCGTTTTGTAAATTAATATGATAAAGACCATCAGAGAAAGTACCATTCCCAACACAATCAGAATTATGTAATAAACTGAATGACATGTTTGAAAAATTAAAGGAATATCCCAAGGGTACAAGTCTGAAAATAGAAATCAAGTTTCGTGAAAAAACTTGGAACATAAAAGGTCCTTTCTAATTTCAAAATAAAGCCACTACATAAGTTAA